CAGAATATTTATCATCAAGTATTTCGCATTTTCTTCCAAAAATTAAATAAACTAGTTGTTGATGTTGAATTCATTCCAATTAATTATATAATTATGTACTAGCCTCAAGGTTGTTATTTATCTGAAGAAGTTTAATTTTCACGAAGCACAAGCAATTTTTAATTAATTTCGGTAATTAGTTGTTTCTATTGCATAAATTAAATTAATTAGTTAAAAATAGAAAATTAATAATTACGGTCCTAATTCCAGTTTTTTCCACTGTAATATCACCCAAAGTAGTCAAAATAAAATTTATCACGAATTTAAAGTATTTTTAGTTGCCTTTTGCATTTTGTAGTTAAAATTGGGAAAATTATCAATTAGTTGTTAAAATTGGATTTTAGGTCTAATAATTCGTGAAAAACTCCAGATAGTTATATTTCAGTTCCTACAAGTTTATTTTGCCAGAATTTAATTTTTGTTTAATTTTTGCTATTATACATGTTTAATTCCTTGTTAATGTTTAATTTATTTACTATATTGTTGAATGCAAAAATAATGTTTAATAGCTAAATTTGATTTGGGCATGAATTGAATAAAGGAATATGGATTGACTTGTTAGCCGAAAATTAGGGGTTAAAATTAACTAATTGGACTAGTTATTCAAATTGATGAAATAGTAATTAATAATTGTTAGCCATTTTCATTAATTAAATTTTGGAAAATTATTTCTAACTTGTCTATGAGATTAGAAAATAATTTGAGCCAACCTTATTCAAGCACATTAATAAGGCCTAGAAATAGGAAATTTTAATGAAAAGGATTTACATCTTGTCTATGAGACATAAATTCAAATTGCTTAAATAATGAGTTTAATTAGTTAATGAATTTGGCTATTTTTATTAATTAAAATATAGGAAAATTATTTATGTCTGGTCTATGAGATTAGAATTTAATTCAAGCCAATCATTTTTGAATACATTAATGAAACCTAGAAATAAGATAAATTAATGAAAGTAATTTCTATTCTTGTCTATGAGAAAAGAAATTATTAGTCCAATTTTAGTTTTAATTCCCCTAAATACTAAGCCCAAGAATATATCCATTTCTAATTACTCAATTCATTTCCCTTATTTGCCTCAATCTTTTCATTAATCCTTGAAATATTTGATCTTAAGCCTTCACCTTTAGTTGAAAATTGTTCCTAGTTATAATTTTGCAAATTGGCCTAGTTTAGAACATAATCACCCTCTTTTGTATTGAAAAATCTTCCAACGATTAGCGATAGCCCGTGACTAAGACTAAATTAAGAAAAGTCCTCCGCCATTCCTCAAGAGACACGATACTCGGGGAAAAACCGAAAGGTTAGACTCCATTTTACTACAACGCCGCATAAGCGGTTATCAAATGGCGCTGTTGCCGGGGAATGACACGGTAATTTCTTGATCTAGTTCTAGCATAGGTGAATTCTAGTTAGGGAGACTTTTTCGCACTTGGGACATTTGTATAAAGATTTCAGGATAAATGAATGCACACTCACTCTAAAGGAGTGGAAGGGCTACTTGAACTTAATCCTGAACCTGAACGAACTTTGTGGAAAAATCTTTTAATCCAGAAGAAACCAATCATGACGGACCAAAAGACGGTGCTACAAAACCTCACGCCAAGCTTCATCGAGGATGATAGCATAAGCTTACCAACAATCGAGGCAGCCAACTTCGAGATTAAACTCGCCATTATCAACATGATGTATAATCATCAATTTGGCGGGTCCAAGCAGGACGACCCCAGGGCCCACATGTTGTGGTTCACCCGAGCATGCCAAACATTCCGCTTCAATGGAGTGACTCCTGATGCCGTAAAATTGACCCTATTTCCTTTCTCACTACGAGATAGGGCATCTTTATGGTTGGATAGCTTTCCAACGGGTCATTTCACAACATGGGCAGCACTACACCAGGCATTCATGCAAGAGTACTTTCCTCCATCGGCGGTTACTAAAATTAAAACAACAATCCAAAATTTTAGGCAATTCCCGACGGAATCATTAAATGAAGCATGGGAGCGCTTCAAGGATATGAGAAACAAATGTCCACTCACACTGATGGACCCTAGCAACGTGATGTTCCGTTTCTATAATGGGCTTAAAGTTGGAAGCAAAAAAGAGCTTGATTTCTCTTCTCAGGTGGGATCATTCCTTGATATGGCGCCCGACGCCAATGAAGCTCTGGTGGAGAAGGTCACTTCCAACGCAAGATACCGGTACGATGAAAGAACTCCAGTGGCCACAAAACTAGGCTATCTTGAAGTTGACCAACTCACGGCTTTAACCGCAAAGATTGAAGGGTTGTTGGTGGAAGTGAAAAATCTGAAAGGCGAAAACAGCCACACCAACCAGGTCAACCACATTGGCACTGCCCCGAATCAGCAACCATCCCGATACTTCGGGAACTCAAACTCTGCCCCACAGTCATCACAATTTAATGTTTATTCATCTGTTTCTAATTCAACTGAACTTGTACTCTCATGCGAGATATGTTTTGGTCCACATTTTACAAATTCATGTCAATTAGTTGATGATTGTAATCTAAGTAACAACAGGGAGGTAAACATGCTGGAATATGGCCGAACGAAACAAGAAGGGCCATGGGAAAATCAAGACAACATGGGGGATAACTCAAATTACCCTCCCCAAAATTACCAAGGGAGAAACTACCAGGGCAACCAATGGCGGGGGATTACAACAATGGTCCTCCTCGCGGCGGTTACCAAGGTAACCAGAACTACCCCAACAATAACAATCAAGGGCACAACTTCCCAGGGCGGAATCAGGGAGGGGCATTAAACCAATCAAACCAGAACAATCAGGTTTATGTGCCTCCACATATACGACAAACAGAAGCGGCCCAAACCTCGGAGATAGGCTTGCTGGTAGCTGAACTAGCAAGGACACGGGAGGAGATGGCAAAATACAAGGCTAGCACTAATAATCAGATGAAAACTCCGATGATGCAAATCACTCAGAATAATGTCCCGGTCGTCAACCTGGAAACTTGCCTAGCACTACAGAACCAAATCCCCGTGAACATGTGCAAGGTATCACTCTCCGAAGCAGGGGCGGACTTCTTTTGTTCAAGTGTATTCATGTGAACATCCAAAAATTTTGAAAAAAAAATGTAAAAATACATATATAGAATATTAGAATTGATATGATAATTTGTATATTGAGTTTTATGTAATATTTGTTGCTCTTAACCTTATTTTTTGGATTTTAATATTGGAAATGTTACATTTCTCAATTGATCGACCAAACAATATTATTGTGCAATAGATAAAATACTTTTGAACACTCTATATTTGGTTGAAAGATTCGCCACTGCTCCGAAGTGGGAGACAAACAGTCGAGGTCAAGCAGAAGAACAACGAAGAAGAGCAGACACCTGAAAACCATACTGATGCTCCAACTGAGAAGAGCATGGAGCCAACACGCCCTAACGCAAAGGTCACTATCGTCAAACATTCTCTCCCGTTTCCTTCACGGGTTAGAAATGATGACGATAGCAGGAAATACAACAAATTCCTGAACCTACTCAAACAACTCCACGTCAACCTGCCGCTGATGGATGCCTTGGCAGAGATGCCCAAATATGCCAAGTTGTTCAAGGACTTGTTGACAAACAAGAGGCAGCTGCAGGAGCTCTCAAACGTGGACCTAAATGCAGAATGCTCAGCGGTGGTTCTAAGGTCGATACCCGAAAAGCTAAAGGATTCAGGTAGCTTCACTATCCCTTGTTCAATTGACAATTTCAATTTCAGTAATGCTCTAGCTGACTTAGGGGCGAGTATCAACCTGATGCCTTCCTCTATAGTCGAGAAGCTAGGACTTGGGGAAATGAAACCCACCAGGATGTGTCTTCAACTGGCTGATCGCTCAATCAAATATCCGAAAGGAATTGTTGAAGACGTCTTGGTCAAGGTTGACAAATTCATTTTCCTAGTCGACATTGTAGTAATGGACATGGAAGAGGATAGGGAAACACCACTTATTTTGGGAAGGCCCTTTCTGGCTACCGTCAGGGCCTTGATTGATGTCACTGATGACTCACTAACTCTAAGAGTTGGAGATGATTTATACACCTTCCGACTCTCAAATGTTATGAAACATCCCACATATTCCTTTCAAGGATGTCATTTTCTTGATACTTTCGAATCAATTGAAGGGTACCTGTTTGGGGAAGAGAATGGACATGTAAGTGATGAAGCATGTCTGTTAAAAGAAGCCGACAGTGACATAAGTGATGCATGTGAGAGTTGTGAGGATGCGCTAATTGAGCAAGCTTCTCATGAAGTATTGATTGAGTTCGAGGGGGAGAAAAATGAACAAAACCTAAGAAATGACCGCCCCCTCGAACTAAAGAAACTCGCTGACCATTTAGAATACGCATTCTTGGATGACGAAGGCAAGTGCCATGTCATCATCGCTACACACTTAACTGAGGAACAATGGGACAAATTACTTGGAGTCCTTAAGACACACAAGCAAGCAATTGCTTGGAAACTTGAGGACATCAATGGAATAAGTCCCACCTTTTGTACTCACAGCATCAAGATCGAGGAAGGGTTTAAACATGTCATCCAACCACACCGACGTTTGAACCCAAAAATGATGGAAGTAGTGCGTGCTGAAATTGTCAAACTGCTGGATGCGGGTATCATTTACCCCATGTCTGAGAGCCAGTGGGTAAGCCCGATTCATGTTGTCCCCAAAAAGGGGGGAATGACTGTCACACAAAATGAAAGGGGTGAACTTTTGCCCAGTCGAACTGTTACCGGGTGACGAATGGTAATTGATTACCGCAAACTGAATGAAGCCACCCGGAAAGACCATTTTCCCCTCCCCTTCATTGATCAATTAATAGAGAGGTTGGCAGGCCATAGTCATTATTGGTTCCTGGATGGCATGACTGGATACTTCCAAATCCATGTCAACCCGGAAGACCAAGACAAAACTACGTTCACATGCCCTTTTGAGACCTTTGCTTTTCGTAGGATGTCTTTTGGTCTCTGTAATGCCCCTGCCATCTTCATGAGGTGCATGATTGCCATATTTGAAAAATACATTGGCCACTTCATGGAGGTATTCATGGATGATTTCTCTATTTTTGGAGAATCCTTTGAAAAATGCCTTGAAAATCTGGAAAAAGTACTTATCCGCTGCAATGAAACCCACTTAGCCTTAAGTTGAGAAAAATGTCACTTCCTTATGAAAGAGGGTATAGTACTTGGACACAAAGTGTCAAGTAAAGGGGTCGAGGTTGACCGTGCGAAAATTGAAACGATAGAGAAACTTCCTCCACCAACCACGGTAAAAGCCATCCGCAGTTTCTTGGGACAGGCGGGCTTTTATCGTCGTTTTATAAAGGATTTCTCTAAAATCGCAAAATATCTCACCCGGTTACTTGAAAAAGATGTGGTTTTTATATTCTCCGATAAATGTCACCAAGCTTTCCAAACACTTAAAACACAACTGATTAATGCTCCAGTACTTGTGGCCCCGGATTGGAGTTTACCTTTTGAACTCATGTGTGACGCTAGTGACTTAGTAGTGGGGGCCATTCTCGGCCAAAGGAAGGACAAGAACTTCCATCCAATCTACTACGCTAGCAAAACTCTGTCAGGGCCACACCTGAACTACACCACCAGTGAAAAAGAATTCCTTGCTATTGTTTGTGCGTTAGAGAAGTTTAGGACTTACGTCATTCTTTCGAAGGTTATTATCTATACCATCATTCGGCCATTAGATATCTCCTCCAAAAGCATGATGCTAAGCCTAGACTGTTACGCTGGGTTCTTTTGTTGCAGGAATTTGATATTGAAATCAGGGACCGGAAAGGGTCTGCTAATCAGGCAGCTGATCACCTTTCGAGGTTAGATGTCGAATTAGCAGAAACCTTTGGAAAATGTGAAGTGGAGGAACTTTTTCCTGCGGAGAGGTTGATGGCAATATCCGCCAATGAACAAACACCATGGTATGCTGACATTGCCAACTACCTTGTTGGTAACATCAAGCCTACAGACCTAACAAGGCACATGAAGAGGCGGTTCCTGTCAGAAGCAAAGCACTATTTTTGGGATGATCCATATCTATTCCAAATTTGTGCTGACCAGGTGGTGAGAAGATGTGTTACTGAATCTGAGGGAAGAGACATACTGAAGCATTGTCACAGCGGCCCTACTGGGGGCCACTTTTCAGGGAATAGAACTGCCAGATGGGTTCTGGACTGTGGGTATTTCTGGCCCACGATTTTTAAAGATGTTAATGTATTTGTTTCCTCTTGTGATAACTGTCAGCGAATCGGGAATATTTCTGGTTGCAATGAGATGCCCCAACACTTTATCTTACCTTGTGAGGTATTTGATGTTTGGGGCATCGACTTTGTTGGACCTTTCCCGAGCTCGAGAGGAAACAAATACATTCTTGTGGCCATTGATTATGTTTCTAAGTGGGTTGAAGCCCAGGCCCGCGTCACCATCGACTCTCGAGTAGTCGTAAATTTTCTGGAAAAATTGTTTACTAGATTTGGTGTGCCTAGGGTTTTGATCAGTGACAGAGGGACTCATTTCCACAATGATCCAATGGCCAGAATCTTGGCCAAATATGGAGTCCAACATCGGAGCGGAGTAGCGTCCCACCCCCAAACTCAGGGGCAGGTTGAGAACGCTAACAGGGATTTGAAGTCCCTTTTGGAGAAAAATGTTGCCCAGACCAGGAAAGACTGGTCAACTAAACTTGGCGATGCACTTTGGGCATTTCGGACTGCGTACAAAACCCCGATCGGAACCACGCCTTTTCGCCTTGTATGCGGGAAGTCTTGTCACTTACCCATTGAACTCGAACACAAAGCACTTTGGGCAATGAAAAATGTGTGTTTTAAACTTGACGCTGCAGGGAAAGAACGATTTTACCAGCTGAATGAACTGGACGAGTGGAGAGCGCAAGCTTTTCATAACTCCAAACTTTACAAGGAACGGGCCAAACTCTATCATGACCAACACATCAAGGCCCGTGATTTCAATGCTGGGGATAAAGTGCTACTGTTCAACTCCCGATTAAAACTATTCCCGGGAAAACTCAAATCAAGATGGTCCGGACCGTTCACGGTCGTGAAAACTTACCCCTACGGAACCATCGAGATCGAAGATGCAAACGGGGTCCCTTTAAAGTCAATGGCCACCAACTCAAACTTTACCACGATGGCCCGGTTGAAAAAAGCAAGGAGATTCTCTATCTCCAAAAACTTTGAATCAAAGGAGGGAATTCGTCAAGCTAGTGACGTTAAAGAAGCGCTCATTGGGAGGCAACCCATTCAAAAAAAAACTAACCTTAAATTTTTTTTTACTTTATTTTTAGCAGATGTCTAGAGGAAGAAGTGACGACCCCATCTCTCAGGAGCCACCACTGGCTAGGCAAGACCCACTACCTGTGCTAGACATCCCATTTGCTACTGATGCTGATCGTAGACGCTCCCAGACATGGGGGCGTTTCCGCAGTCTTTTACCCCCCATGATTCTAGATCAGGGGATGCTCGAGACATGGGGGTACTGGGACGACATCGATACGCTGCTAGGAGATTCATTATGGCGGAGCATTCTATCTATCGAGGAGAGGGCCAGTTTCTCACTGACGATTGATTTCCGGTGCTCACTGCACTTCACTCATTATGGCCATATCATTCAGGTAGCAGGTGCCATTGGGACGGAGACACGGATGAGATTCACTATTTTGGGCATCGAGCACTCCATCACTGTGGCTGAGCTCGGATGGAGGATGAGGTTCTATGCCCCGGCTTATACATAGACGGACGAGTTCCGCGCTCTCCCGACCCATCTACCGGAGGGGTTTGACATTGACGAGTTCTGGCACACACACTCTACCGACACCGGGGCCTTTCTTCGTGTGTACCCCTTGGCAGCCCGATAGAGGCGGACACACTGGTATATACTCTCATTCATGCTATCTTGTGGTTTTTTTGGACGACCTAACAACACAAACAAGTTGTCCAAAAAGGACATATTCTTCTTTTGGAGTTTGATTCACCAGAGCCCGGTGAACATGGCAGTCCTTATGGCTCGTTTCTTCCGGAGCCAAGGGAAGAGTGTCCGCCACACTATTCAGGCAGGGCCTTTCGTCACGATTCTCCCTGGGTCATTCTACCCTGACCTAGACATTCCCGGGTTACTACATGTGCCAGATAGCATCCGCGTTCTTCGGTCCTCATCCTTTGTGAACATGAGGATCAAGAAGTAGCGGAATACTCAGGAGCTCCCAGGCATTGAGCAGACAGTGGAGTAGAGCAGCTCTTCTCGGGCACCACCACATAGGGGATCTGGTACTCCAGCATACGACATGCCCAGTGAACCTTATTGGAGAACGATGATGGACGGGATGAGGAGTCTTCAGACCTCGTTCTCAGAGTTTCGGGACGCACACGTGACGGAGTTCCGAGACTTTCGATCAAGGATGCAGGAGATGCAGGAGGCCGCCATCAGGGAGATGCAGGAGACACAGACCACGACCCTGGCTGAGTTCCGGGATTATCGACTGGCACAGGAGGTCACCGTCAGACAAATGCGCCAGCAGATAGAGGCTCAGCAGGTGGATATCGATGAGATAAAGGATTGACTTGGGCCTCATTATGGCCCACGGGATGAGATTGGCTCTGATTAGTTTTTACTTCCTTCTTAACATCTTACTGTGTTTGTTTGTTTATTCAGGTTGGACATTACATTGCTCTTTTGACTTGATTGCTCATACAAACTGACTATGGATTCTGTAAGGATTTTTAAAACAATTTTATTCTTGTTTTCATCATTACACTTCACAAAATCTTTTCAAAACTCAAGTGTGAGCAAAGAACCAAAAAATGTGCCTTTAATTCTAAACTTTGTGCATTAAAAGTGTGAGAATGAAATATGCATCTACCATGGGATAACACCGCCAACAAGAGTTTAAAAGAGGCAAAAAATACTATTATTGATAAATCTCTTCAAACCTCATTGTTATAGGACAATTCCATCTCTGAAAAGGGGCTCTGTTTCATTCGTTAATCATAGTCTGTGAGAATGAAATATGCATCTACCATGGGATAACACCGCCAACAAGAGTGGAAAAGAGGCAAAAAATGTGTTTGTGAATAAGATAAATGTCCAAATTAGAATAATGAAAACCTTGGGATAAGGAATTGATTGGTGGTTTAACATAATCAATAGTTTTTATAAAGTAGTAATAATTTTAAATTCTTGTATTTTGGGTGATATTTCTAAAATGTTTAAAGATTGAGAATAAAAAAAAGAAGATTTTTGTTTCTATTTCTTTAATAGCAATTCGACTGTGATTCAGTCAGGTTTTACCTTTTGTGAGTGTATTTCCAACCAATTTATTGCTTGAGGACAAGCAACGCTTAAGTGTGAGGAGATTGATAAGTCCATTTTTGTACTTATTTTTCTTATCAAAATTAAGCGATTTTTGTATGGAGAATAGAAAAAACAAGGCACGTTTTGGATATTTTGGTTCAAGTTTCATGAATTCAGGTGAAAACTACAGTCATAATATGTTTGGTGAAATTTCGGGCCAATTGGGCACAAAATGAGTCAATTTGAGTAACAAATAAATCCATATCTAAAGAAGGAAGCAGAATTTCAAAGTGGTCCAGAAGGGAAAGTTGAAGAGCACAAAATAAAGAACAAGACGGTCAAAGAAGCCCGCAGGCGGTCAAATAGGCGGCCAGATCTGACCGCCCTCCAGACCGTCTACGCTATTTTTGGAAAGTCAACATTTTGGACTTTGACCGGACCCGGAAAAAACCGAAAGCTGCTGACACCCCACGAAGGGCGGCCGCCCTCAGTAACCGCCTACGGCACAAGACGTCAAAGCCAACAACCGTTGGTGTGAAAAGGCGACAGGCGGCCAGACAGACGGCAAGCGGCTGCCTTCCGTGACCGCCTGCGGCGAAGTGACGTCACCACGTTTCGCTGCCGGTAAAAAGACGGCAGGCGGCCAGATGAGGACGAAGGGCGGCCGCCCTTCAGACCGCCTACGGGAAAATTTGTGCTATAAATAGCCTGATTTTTGCTGAACTCAAACACACCACTTCCAACCCTAAATCAGTTCGAAAACCCTCCCTTCTTCTTCCATTTCCGCAACTCCAAAGGGGTGAAGGAGAGAGAAACTTCAAATCTTCATATCTTCTCCATTTTAGCTTCAAATTGTAAGTTCTTTATATGTAGTTCATCTTCTCAACCAGTAGAATCTGAATCTGTGTTTTGTTTTCTCGATCTATACTTCGAATTTTTCCAGAATATTTATCAAGTATTTTGCATTTTCTTCCAAAAATTAACTAAAATAGTTGTTGATGTTGAATTCATTCCAATTAATTATATAGTTGTTTACTAGCCTCAAGGTTGTTATTTATCTGAAGAAGTTTAATTTTCACGAAGCACGAGCAATTTTTAATTAATTTCGGTAATTAGTTGTTATTATTGCATAAATTAAATTAATTAGTTAAAAAAAAAATTATTACGGTCCTGATTCCTGTTTTTCCCACTATAATATCACCCCCAGTAGTCAATATAAAATTTATCACGAATTTAAAGTATTTTTAGTTGCCTTTTGCATTTTGTAGTTAAAATTGGGAAAATTATCAATCAGTTTTTAAAATTGGATTTTAGGTCTAATAATTCGGTGAAAAACTCCAGATAGTTATATTTCAGTTCCTACAAGTTTATTTTTCCATAATTTAATTTTTGTTTAATTTTTGCTATTATACATGTTTAATTCCTTGTTAATGTTTAATTTATTTACTATATTGTTGAATGCAAAAGTAATGTTTAGTAGCTAAATTTGTTTTGAGCATGAATTGAATAAAGGAATATAGATTGACTTGTTAGCCGAAAATTAGGGGTTAAAATTAACTAAATAGACTAGTTATTCAAATTGATGAAATAGTAATTAATACGTAGTAATTGTTAGCCATTTTCATTAATTAAATTTTGGAAAATTATTTCTAACTTGTCTATGAGATTAGAAAATAATTTGAGCCAACCTTATTCAAGCACATTAATAAGGCCTAGAAATAGGAAATTTTAATGAAAAGGATTTACATCTTGTCTATGAGAAATAAATTCAAATTGCTTAAATAATGAGTTTAATTAGTTAATGAATTTGGCTATTTTTATTAATTAAAATATTGGAGAATTATTTCTGTCTTGTCTATGAGATTAAAATTTAATTCAAGCCAACCATTTTTTAATACATTAATGAAACCTAGAAATTGGATAAATTAATGAAAGCAATTTCTATTCTTGTCTATGAGAAAAGAAATTATTAGTCCAATTTTAGTTTTAATTCCCCTAATTACCAGACCCAAGAATATATCCATTTCTAATTACTCAATTCATTGCCCTTATTTGCCTCAATCTTTTCATTAATCCTTGAAATATTTGATCTTAAGTCTTCACCTTTAGTTGAAAATTGTTCCTAGTTATAATTTTGCAAATTGGCCTAGTTTAGAACACAATCACCCTCTTTTGTATTGAAAAAACTTCCAATGATTAGCGATAGCCCGTGACTAAGACTAAATTAAGAAAAGTCCTCCGTCATTCCTCAAGAGACACGATATTCGGGGAAAAACCAAAAGGTTAGACTCTGTTTTACTACAACGCCGCGTAAGCGGTTATCGATTTCTCAATGTAATTGGATTGATGGATGAAAATTCAATTCTTCAAATGCTCAATTTGAAGCCTGAGACAAAATTTGATTCTCCCGAGATCTTTCATTTCAAATTCTTTCATAAGATAATTTACAGTATTTTCAATTTCATCGGAAGTTCCAATAATGCTTAAATCATCAACATATACTGCAATTATGGCAAATCCAGAATTTGATCCCCGAATGAAAACACATGGACTAATTGGATCAATTCCTGGCATTTGAGAAAACCCTTGGGCAACAAGTCGGGCTTTATATCTTACGATTTCATTTTTCTCATTGCGTTTACGCACAAATACCCATTTAAAATCACTGGTTTTACGCCTTTTGGCGTAGGGACTATCGGTCCAAAAACATCACGTTTTTCAAGTGATTTCAATTCAGCCTGAATAGCTTCATTCCATTTTGGCCAATCGTGTCGTTTCCGACATTCTTCTATTGACGTTGGATCATTGTCATTGTTTTCATTCATAACATTTGTGGCAACAGCATAGACAAACATCTCATTAATATCAATATCTTTTCGATTCCATTGCATTCCAGTAGAAACGTAGTTTATTGAAATTTCATAATTATCAATGTTTCTATCATTATCTGGAATATCTTCCTTGTTTAAGGAAATTGAATCGTCATTTGAGATGTTTGTTTTGTCAATATCATTTTCTATGCTCATATTTTCAAATTGTTCATTTTCTTGTTCAGAAGGATGAACATTTTTGGCATCACAGATCAATTCCTATCTTTTAGTTTTTCTTGGTTTTATATCTTTCGATCCAAGTGGCTTTCCACGCTTTTTGCGTATAGAAGAATCATTTGCAAGAGATTTTTCAGAATTCTCTACCGGGATTTCGATCCTGACGGGGGCATTCATAGCAAGAATATGTGACTTTGTCACTTTCTTTATGTCTGTGAATGTATCAGGCAACTGATTTGCAACATTTTGTAAATGGATTATCTTTTGAACTTCTTGCTCACATATACTTATTCTTGAGGCAAGATGTGATAATCATGTTGCATTTACATGTTATCTCTTTCGTACTTGGGTCTAATCTAATGTTTTCTCCCCCTAAGGTCGGGAACATTGTCTCATTGAAATGACAGTCTTCAAACCGTGCAATGAATAAGTCACTGGTATAGGTTCGAGATATTTTATTATTGAGGGAGATTCAAATCCAACATAAATTCCCAACCTTCTTTGAGGACCCATTTTTGTACGATGAGGTGGAGCAGTCAGAACATAAACAGCACAACCAAATATCTTAATGTGTTTTAAGTTTGGTTCTTGTCCAGTAACTAATTGCATTGAGGAATATATATGATATGCAGTTGGTTTAAGCTGAACTAAATTTGTTGCATGTAAAATAGCATGCCCCCAAGCTGATGAAGGTAAATTACACCTTAATAATAATGGTCTAGCGATTAATTGTAATCGTTTAATTAATCAAATATTCAACAAGACCATTTTGTGTATGGACATGAGCAGCAGAGTGCTCCACATGAATCCCAATAGACAGACAATAGTTGTTAAATGATTGGGATGTAAATTCTCCTGCATTGTCAAGTCGGATTCTCTTTATAGAGTGATCCCGAAAATGAGCTCTTAATCGTATAATTTGAGCAAGGAGTTTAGCAAATGCTAAATTTCTCGTTGATAACAGACTGACATGTGACCAATGTGTTGAAGCATCGATCAACACCATAAAATATCTAAATGGTCCACATGGTGGGGCTATCGGCCCACACATATCTCCTTGAATTCTTTCTAAAAATGGAGGTGATTCAGTTGCAATTTTGTTCATAGAAGGCCTGATGATCATTTTGCCAAGAGAACGGGTCTTACAAAGAAAATCACTTAACAATGGAACCCTGATATTCTTTAATGGATGTCCAAGTGAAGTCTTAATGATTTTATGCATCATTACCTGGCATGGGTGATCTAAACGGTCATGCCACAACGTGAATGTTTTCTGATCATCTAACTTTGTGTTAGAAACCAAATATATTTCAAATGGACTAATGTATGTGAAATATAATCCTAAGGAATATGCTAGCATTTTTCACAAATATATTTAGTGTTAGATTTAGTTGTCGTAAGACAAAGATATTCCTTTTGATTTTCATTCATGGTTTCTATGTGACAACCATTTTGACGCATATCTTTAAAGCTCAATAAATTTCTCCGCAATTTGCTGGAGTATAAAGCGTCATTTATAATAATTTTGTCCTGTTAGGGAGCATCACATATGTTTTCCCAGAGCCTACAATGAGCTTTGCAACACCTGATATAGTATTGACTTTAGCTACAACTAAAGTCATTTGAGAAAAATATATTTTATTTCTCAAAATGGTGTGCGTTGTGTCGATGTCTATCAGACATAGCTCTGTATCACTTGAGTTATCCATATCCGCAAAAGCTGATGATTTCTTGGAGAGTTTTGAGCTGATTCGTGCTGATAACGTGTTGAGAAATGAAGAAGATGAAGACTATATTTAAGAGATAGATATATTATTAATAAGCTTTAAATTACTTTTTCTTAATATCTGAAATTTTCTGAATGAGATTGCAAGGTCTCATCAAGCCCCTATTTATACTGGTTGAGCTTGATGATGAGTCACTTAAGGGATGAGTCTACAGATTTGGTGGCAATAGCAATTTGAAACATTTTTTCTAACTAGGTTACAAGGATTAAACATAATTTCTGGATTGATGACAAAGATGAACAATTCACCTTTGTCATTTCCATGATTTTACAACATGCTTTTTATACTTGCAATATTCCATTTGTTAGTAGATTAGGGGAAATATCTATAGAGGAGCTCAAAATTCAATGGTGGGGGATAAAACATTTTAAGGCATCAACTTTCAGCCATTTTCTTCAAATTGTTTACTTTTTCTATATTCTTGGATTCAAATGGTAAAGTATGACACTCAATAGAATAAAGATAATGGATTTAATTAGTAAATTGAAAATAAATCGAAACAACGAATTCTTCACAGCAGTTATCATAGCTTAAAGATCGGTTCCTTCATAGCAGATATTGAGGCCATAGCTTAAATTAAGTAAATTCAAAAATAAGATTCATAAGCATGGATACTAATTACATCAAATTCTTAACTACAGTAATACATATTGGGGGCGTTGTGTATGAGCATAAATATGGATACACGAAGAGTTGAGCTGTTGGTCTTTGACATGATAAGTTAGGTCTCCTCCGTATCTCTCCCTCATAACCACAACTTTGCATCCTAGGAGAAGGCAGAAATAGATTGCGGCTTGGAAAATTGTGACTCCTTTCGTAGTGTCATATGGGGAAAAGGTAAGGAGAAGGCATTAACTGGGCTAGCATGCGGCTAAATGATGAGCACGATAGTCAAAGTAAGAGGCTTCGCCGAAGCAATTTTAAGTTGCAGGACTACATACTTTAGGATCCAGTATTTATTTTAATTATTCATTGGGTATTGTTATTATTAATTATTATTACTAAAGTAGTATTAGTGTTGGAATCGGTTGGTAGCTTTGGAATAGGTTTCCAACTTAGTGGCAGATTTCTAATTGTATAGGACTCTAGAGTTCTTTAGAGTGTTTTGGGTATCTATAAATACCCCATATTTAATTATTAGAAGGTAATGAGAAAATTTTCTCTCGTGTTCTCCGTCCGTCTTCAAGACCTCAGAAAATGTGGTCCAGCCTTCAGTACCACCATTCCCCTACGGCAACAGAAGGAAAGAAGTCGGTGGAGAAAATTTGCAGCGCGGTGGAAAATAAGTGGAAAAATAAAACGGTAGGAAAGAGATAGGTGATATTAGATCATTCGGTATTCCTATCCTAGAATAGAGGATTTTATTCGTAATTTGTTGATGCAAGTCTCACTAAGGTTCCCCTTGAATTCGGCCCAGCTGATATGGGTATCAGTGGAAAAGAATATATCCTAGATTTTTGCCTCTTAGGTGTTTCTGCTGGCTCAGTATTTACTACACCACTTTGTCTGTGGACATCGTGTTGGCCCAGAGGGGGTGGGTTATGGTTCAATATAACAGGTTATTAGACGAGAGGAAGCGGGACTCTATATCGTGCATGAATTGAGGGCGGTGTACGGAACAATCACTACTGCCTGAGTCCCTTTATTGGAGTTTTGGTGGCACACTACTAACTGCAAGGACAGAATCAAGAGTGTACTAATCATTGCATCTATGGAAGAAAGTGGAAAAATCTATGGCTGCACAAGTACAAATGCATTGTCTGGGAGATGAGTCAGATGACCAATTGACAACTGAGAATCTAATGAGTATTACACTATTATGTCCTGTCGACCTTATTAGCTTTTGACAAAACTGTTACTTTTAACTTTGAGGAGTTCATCATTACTTTTATATATATCAGTTACTTGCGAAGTCTGTCAATCAAAACATCCTCAAAGTGTGACTCCAGCTCAGACGTCTCAATCCCTTTCACTGCAAAGAATTCATGCTTCAAAAGGGTACGAGCATTTGGCCTTTCCCACGGCTTCCAGGCTAGACAATCTGCCACTATCTTCTCAAATTCCCTGGAAAATGATCTTTCCTCTGATGAACCATCGCCATAATCTTCTTCCTCCATCGCTATCTGTTTTCCCTTCCCTTCCACCTCACGAGTGAGCTGCTGCAGCTGATCTAAGCCTTGCGGGGCAGGCGGATACCTCTTGGGAAGTTTTCTCTTCTCGTGAATCTCCCTGCTCATCACCTCAAGGGCTTCACGGCTCGGGACTCTAATCCCTCCATAAGCCAATTCCAGGGCCATGATTCCCACCAGCCACACGTCACTTTCCTCAGTGCTCCGGTGGTTCTTCATCTCATGGTTGTACACCTCTGGTGCAGCTGCCCAGTGCGAGATGTCAGTCTCGGGCAATGTGCAGGATGATGAGCACTCCAGATTCGAGACCCCGTGATCATAAACTGTGGCTCCAAAGCCCATCTTGATATTGGGTCCGCTCTTCAAATAAACATGGCCCGCACTGATATCTCCGTGGAACACTTTGCGCTGATGAAGAAAACAAACCACCTCCAGAACTGATCTCAGAATCAGAGAAATGAATGTCTCTGGAAGGCCGAGCGGGAAATGTTCGGCCATGATTGATTGGAGGGAGCCCCATTCAGCATACGCCATCACGATGCAGTAATCGCAGGATTCCGGGTCGAGGAAAAAACCTTCCACTTGCAACAAGTTCTCATGATCTTTCTGAAGCTTATTGTTTTTCGATTCCAGCTCATTCTTCAACCGCCTGTAAACATCCGGGTTAGAACGGGAGTTCACTATCTTGGCCAAAGAGAAGTCGTTGTAAACAAACTGTCTATGGTAAGGGTTGTGCTCACATTCTGAATACGCTACCCTGTAAACAGGAAGTTTGCCAAGGGAGGATGTTCCGATTGGATCCATGGACATGATCCGGTACACAATCAGGTTATCAGGATCCACCAGGTACTCCGTCAGTGGAGGAGGAGATGGTGGGGAAGCAAAATGATCACTATCATCATAAGCATCATTGTAATGATCTACATCCATCCAGGAGTTGTCGGGGGAGGCACTACTTATTTCTCGTAAGCTGTTTCGCCACATTCCCTCACCATCCATAACTCCAGATTCTGCCTCTTGAGTGTTTGTCTTTTTTCTTTCTTCATCCTCCTCCCTGTCGAAAGTTAGTTTCCTTTCGAATTCCAGAACAAAAATAAAAAGAATAAGCTTCGATTCACGTGAGATAATGTTAACATTGAGTAATAAACAGGGATGGGGACACAATCCGATTAGTATTAATGAATTGATTCTTCGTAAGCACTGCAGTTAAGTATGTACCTCTTGTAACGCAACTTCAACGGGACATCAGTCAATGCAGGGACGCTGTATGTATATATAAATCTGAGTCTAATTATTAACTACAAAAAGAGGAAGCAGACATGCTGTTGGACTGCGATTAATTGTTTCAAGTAACATACCTAGGGAACACAACGGCCAAGAACTCGAGATCCAAATCTATGAAGCCGCCGCGGCCGGGATGGCCAGGGATTGTAATCTGCGACTCGGGCCTCCTCCTAATTAAGGAATGCAATTATTAGGAAAAGAGTAGAGACAGTTAAGGTTCTCCAATTAGGTGGCTAGCATGCATGTGCGATGATCGGATCATACCTAGGGGTTGACTGGGGATCCAGATTCAAATCAAAACTTGCAGTAATGCCAGGGATTGAAATCTGAGATTGGGGCCTCCTTTATTAATTAATTCATAGTAATAATAATTAGTCAATAGCCTTAACATTTTGAAAATTTGATCAGTCAATAGCGTACAGTTAGTTAGTACCTAAAATCTGGGGCAGCAACACGCAGCATATTCTTGAGGCCTTTGACCGCCTCCATTTGAATCACAGCGTCCTGAAAGTGCGACTTCAAGGCCGACCTCGTCACCCCTTTCTTGTGGAAGAAGTCATGATTGAGAAGGTCACTCACAGTGGGCCTATTCCAAGGGTCCCACGCCAGGCAATCTGCCACCATCGTCTCAAACTCCCTTGAAAACGATGCCCTAATTTCCTCCTCTGAATCAACCTTTCTCATTATCTTCTTTCCCTTGTCACTCCTCTTATCCTCATGGGCTTCTTCTCTGTCATCGTCAATTCCTCCGCAGACGAGCTTCTTCGGAAGCCTTCTGCTCCGGATGATCTCCTTGATCATCGTCTCCAGTGCTTCCCGGTTGGGGACTCTGATGGTTCCGTAAGCCAATTCGAGGGCTGTGATTCCCACCAGCCAAACGTCGGACAGGTCAGTGTAGTCGAGGTAGTACGTATCGTCTCTCCCGCCGCAGTAGACCTCTGGTGGGGCGGCCCATTTACAAATCTGGGTCACGGGCAAGGAAGAATGGGATGAACACTCGGCATTGGAAACCCCGTGCTCGTACAGCGTGCCCGCAAACCCCAGAAATATCCGCGGCCCGCTCTTCACGTAAATATGACCGGCGTTGATGTCCCTGTGGAAATTCCTGAAGCGGTGGAGGAATTTCAGGGACTTCAAGACGTACCTCAGGGCGACGGAGATGCAGGTTTCGGGCAACCCGTGCCGGAACTTGTCGGACATCACCGACCTCAGGGACCCGCGCTCGCAGAAGGGCATCACCAAACACAGATCTTCTGTCTCCTGTTCGATGAAATGGGCCTCCACCGGCATCAAGTACTTGTAATCGCAGGGCAATAACAACCCCGCATTGTTTTTTCTCAAGATGTCCCCATACAGCTTCGCGAAGGGGAATACGGACTCTCTGTCGTGATAGTTCACCCTTTTCAGGGAGAAGAATTCGTGTTCAGCGAACTTCCTTTTATTGTCGCCGCCAGAGGTCTCCTCCTCATCGACTGAGTAGGCTACTTTGTAGACGGGGATGTTATCATAATCTCTGCCGATTGGGTCCTCCGATACGATCTTGTACACGAATCTTGTACCATAATGCACAATGTACTTGCGACGCCCAGAATCTGCAGCCATTCGATCGGAACATCTGGTGATCAATATATGAAATGTATGCAAACTTTTCAGTTTTCAGACGCTTGCGTATATTTATTTCTTGCTTGCCCTGGCCTGGCCTCCTCTTTCTAGTTCAGTTTCTTGGTAATTCTGCCTTGACTGTCGATTTCAAATTCAATGAAGTTCTTGATTTGCTGGTAGGGTTTAAAAGAGGGTTTGTGGACAAAGCTTGGAGGGAAAATGGAATGGAAATATAATTTGATTTGTTACTATATACGTAGTACTACGTAGTATATCTCCTTTGGAGAATGATACCGCGAACTGCGAAGGGTGAATGGCAGTAGGCCCATACATTCGTGCGCATGAGAGGCCCAGCCTTATTTCAGGTTCTGTGACCTTCACTCGGTCGCTGCGGTGATTCGAACTTTGATCCATTGATCCAAATCTCCCACCACTCGACCAACTGAGTTACCCATGCGGGTAGCAAATGCAATTTCTATATACGGAGTAAATGAGTAACATGTACTCTTCAATGACGATATAAATAGACTTTAACGCATTTTATATTCCGGGGATCTCATGGTGCGCCAGATCCCAAAACGTCCTCGTTCGCTTTATTAAAAAATTAGGTTGCATCTTGACATTAATCGACTGAAGATTTCCGCAGCTCAACATTAACGGATTTTTCTCCTTACTCTGTCATCTCTTCGATACGTTTTCTAGGCTTCTTCAATGGATTTTTTGTCGATGATTCTGTTCTTGTTGATTCTTCAATTGGATTGCGAGATACTTTTGCTTCTGATACACACGATAACATCATTCATTCAATTGGTGACAATGATTTCGAAGTTGATCAAATGATTGATGTTGAATTGATCGGTAAGTATTAATGTTTCATGTTGTGTGAATTTCGTTTATTTGTGCTTGCAGTATTGTTTAATATCTTTTGTACTCTGTTTTATACGATTGTTTGAGAATTTGGATTGTATGAGTATTCATATTTGCTGATTTTACATTCAGGAGAAGAAGATATTGTTTCAAAAGCTTCTAAATTGTTATATCTTCTTAGCAGAGGTACTTATTCTGTCATGTAACTTCAATAGTATTTAACTTGTGTTACATGATATGTAACTTCAGTTCAATTTAATGTAACGTAGTTCCAATGTATGTAGTTGTTGTTTGTTTTTCATATGTATGCTTTGTAAATTGTCAAGTTCATTGGAAACTGATCATCAGTCAATTGAGAGTAAATCACTTATTGGGTTTAGAGTCAAGTGTGAACAGGATGCTTATAATCTTTACAACGATCATGCTTTTGAAAATGGATTTGGTATTCGTAGATACAAACAGAGGTTTAGGAGTGGCAATGTAAGTTTGATTATGAAGTCTTACTGTTGTTGGAAAGAAGGGAAGAAAGAACAAAAGGGTACTGAAAACAAAATGTATACGAAGTTAGATTATCGTTCTGGTTGTAAAGTGAAGTTACAGTTTTCTATTAGTATTGATGGTGAATGGGCTGTTTCAAAGCATATTATTGATCACAACCATGCTTTTTGTCCAATTGGTCAAAGACACCTGCTGAAATCACATAGAGGCATTGATCGTGAGTATCTTGAGTTTATTATGTTGATGAAGGAGAGTGGGACAAAGGTTTCAGATGTTCACAGGATGCTTTAAAAACAGGCTGGTGGTGTTAGTGCTCTTGGATTCACGAAACGTGATGCTTATAATGTTCTAGAATCTGAAAGAAGTAAAACGTTTGATGTTACTGATTCGAACACTTAGATTGATATATTGAAGAAAACGGCTGAAGTGGAATCTGATTTTTTTCTATGATTTTGAGCTGGATGACGGTGTACTGAGTTGTTTTTTCTGGAGAGACGGTCAAATGAGATCTGATTATGAGAGGTTTGGAGATCTAGTTGTGCATGATACAACTTACAGGACTAACAAGTATGACATGATCTGTGGTCCGTTTATTGGTATGAATCAGCACTGTAAAAACATAATGTTTGGTTGTGGCTTTATGCTGAACGAAAAGGTGGAGTCTTTTGTTTGGTTATTTCAGACTTTTCTGAAATCTATGGGTGTTAAACACCCCATCAGTTTCATGATAGACCAGTCATTTTCCATGGCAGCGGCTATCAAATATGTGTTTCCTGGAGCAAGACATAGACTCTGCACTTGGCATATAGATGAAAATTCAAAGAAACACATCATGCATCTACACAAGAAGTTAAATTTTGTTCCTCTGTTTGATTATGTTATGAAGCGATGTGACACAGTTGCAGAGTTTGATTTCTACTGGAATGAGTACGTTATTTGTTTTTGATGTAACTTTTTAATTATTTGATGTAATTTTCTCAATTATTTGGTGTAACATGTATGGTTTTCATACATAATCTTGTCTTCTTTTTAAATTTGTTTCAGATTGAATAGAGTATATGAATGCAGTGACAACACATGCTTGAAGAGGTTGTACAGTCATAAAGAAAAGTGGTGTCCTGCTTTTTCAAAGGATTACTTCTCTGGTGGTGTTCTATCCTCCCAAAGAAGTGAATCTACAAATAGATCCATATCTAGAAGACTTACAAAGACTACAACATTATGTGCTTTTTTCAAAATGTTTTGTGATGTTGTTGATGAATGGAGGTTAGAGGAAAATGGTCATGATTTTAGATGTTCTGAAGGCACCATTGAGATGGTATTGCTACAAGACAGTTTGTTGTCTCATGCTAGAGATGTGTATACCCTTGAGATTTTCAAATTGTTCCAAGAACAATATTTGAAGGGTATGTCACATTTTTTTAAACTAATCTCACAGAATTGTAATGATTATGAGTATCATGTTTGGTTGAATGGGGTAGATTTGATTAGACACAACGTTACTTTTAATCAAAATGACAACACAGTGACATGCACTTGCAAGATGTTTTCAGAAGTTGACACTTTGTGTAGACACATTTTGCGTATATATAGTCCATTGTGTCAAATGTATTCCCCAAGTTTATATATTGTCTAGATGGAAAAGGCTGCCATTCTGCCAAATTTTAAACGTTCTCTTACGCAAGGAACCGATATTATGTTTGGGAAAATATTGGAAGATTCTGTTTGGAGAGTGCAAATGACTAGGAAATTCAACACAATATTGGGTGCAAGTGCTGGTTTTCCTGAATCTATGCGAGTATGTGAGCAAGGATACGAGTCTATTAAACATTTTTTTAGATATTCAATGAAATGCTTCTGTTGTGGATGAATCTGCTTCAAGGACAATATTGGATCCTCCACGCTCTCGTCCTAAAGGTCAGCGAAATACCCGAAAGAGAAGTACTATTGAAAAACAGTGCAAAATAGTCAAAGCTCGCCGTTCCAAATCCCAAAATGTTGCCTGCAAAATAGTTGCTCAATCTGTTGCTCAAAATGTTGCCTGGTATTCGTTTAGTTTTTTTATTTTTTTATATATTTAATGCATCTTTTCTGATCATTACTTTTTTTGTTTAATTCTAGGACACTGTTAATTTCATGGTTCCACAAGGTTATCTTGCTCATCCAGTTGGAGCTATGACGTCCTTAATGCATGTGCTTGGATGTCCACAAGTTTTTGCTTCATACTTCATGCAATCGAATGTTGTGAACCAAATGCAGAATTAGTTATAGAGATACACATGTTTGGCATTTCTTGTTTTTTTATTGTACAAGTTGAAGAGTTTACATATATTGTGGGTTATTACATGTGTAGCAACCAAAGTTACATTTGATTTAATGGAATTTATATTGTCTTTACTGTTTGTTAGTTTACAGATGTCAAAGAGCATTACTATAAAAACAATACACAATCAATATTGTTTACTTTGGGTTATAGAATAGTGAACACAATCACTATTGTGTAACAGTTGTTACACTCTTTTAGTCTTGAGTTACATGGTCCTGTAATGTGAATTACATTTGATGTAGTCATTGTTTACATCAGATGTATATTACATGTATACCTAATGGAATTGAATGAGGTTAATATATTAGACTATAACATTTCATTCATACAAAAGTTATATATATATATATATATATATATATATATATATATATATATATATATATATATATATATATATATCTGTGTGTGTGTGTGCGCGCATAAAATATATATAAGGAGTTTACATCAAATTATCATAAACCAAACATGTAAGTTGCATTTTACGTCATAATATCTTAAACCAAACATATAAGTTGTCCATTGCATCACCAGCTATTACATAAAACCAACAAATGTTTTAAGTTTATCCATACCATCATCCCCTCCATAAAACCAACAATTTTTTTACAGTAATCCCACCAGATTAATCAATTACATCTTAAGGTACTCTTTTACTTTTTTCACAGCATTTTCCCTTTCACTATTAAATTTGGACAGTAATATTTGAGCTCCATACCTCAATCTCATCTTCTAAAGGGTTTCATTTTGAGCTTTGATTCCGTCATTTGTAGCAGCATGTGCAAAGCCAGAATCCCATGTGTGTCCTTGCCATGATATGTCTCCAAGTGGCGCAAAACGAATATTCCAAAGTCAACAGTATTGCCATTATGTCTCCATGGCATAAATAACATTTTGGGAATCCAATTTCTGGACTTTCCATCTGAAATCTCCACTTTCTCACAAAAGACTTTGAATCCATCACCCTATACAAGAAGTTACATTAATGGACTAAAATAATATTGAATAATATCATTTGTTATTTCCAGAAAAGTTGTACTGAATTTTTACCATTTTCTTAAAAGTTTCGCCATATTTGTCCTCAAAGATCACCCCGTTTGGAAGCACGCGGTTGTCAATCACATCAACAATGTTGCTTTTTGTGTAAAAGCAGTAGATATAATAGTGCCCAGATTTGTGTATTGGAAACATTATCTGCAATATACATGAATCATAAGCATTTCATCTTTCACACTGACATTAGTTACATAAACCAAAACAGAATGTACATACTTCATATCAGGACTTACATCCCTCAACACCTGCAGTTACATATTATTTTACACCACTTGTTTTAACTATATTGTTAAAACAATATATCTTACATACTCACTTACATAAAACAATACAGAGTTTACATAATTCATATCAGAACTTACATCACTCAACAGTTGCAGTTACATAATCATATATTTAAACCATAAACACTTGAACTATGTAAATTCAAATATTAATGACATTTTACCATATAAAATGTTGTGATATCTGCTCCTGCGTTCTTTTTTCAATCTATCAACCACATTTTCGTTTGGGTCACCAGATGCAAAATCGAACATTGCCTGCACATTGAAATTGAGTCAATCCAATCAAAATATAGTAACTGAAGTTCTCTGCATTATTTTACAAATTTACAAGAAAAAACTATACATACATATACTTGGATTGTCGCTATGAAACCGCGCTTTGTAGTGTTATTTGATTTTTCTCTGTCATTCAGAATCTTTGCAAATGCATCAATGATGGAGTTGTCTATATTTTCTTCTTGAAGGGTCTGAAACTCCTCATGAGTGATAAAAATACCTCCCTCATCTTGATAGACACAGTCACTAACACAATAATATTTTTCAAATAAATTGAAACAATTAATTATGAGATAATGTTTTTAATGAAATAATACATTATATAATATCGGACTTTCTTACTTTTCAACTTCTTTTGACATGCCATAGTCAAGAACAATCTTTTCATCCCTGCTCATTTCCTTGCACAGCCTTCTGTTGTTCTTGAGAAATGGTGATATATAATTCACACTTACATCACCTAACTTTTTAAGCTTCCTCTTTCTTGTGTATGGCTTTAGCTCACCATTCCTTTGAAAAAACAACAAAATGTTAACTTCATTAAGTTAATTAAACACATTAATGAATTACATAATAAACAATTAACACTTACTCTTGTTTATTTTCAACTTCTTTGTTTAATTCTCCACCTGCAGTAGTTTTGTCCTCTCCAGCTACCCCAACCTCTTCATTCTCTTCTCCAGTAGCAGCACTTTGGTTTATTAGATCAGCAGTAGTTTTAATTACCACATCTTCTACATCAGGAGCAGTTTCAGTCATCACATGTTCTACATCAGCAACATTTTCAGTCATCACAGCTTCCACACCAGCAGCAGTTTCAGTCATCACAACTGCCCAATGCTTGCACTCTGAGTCATGTTAAACTCAATGCCTAAATCAAATGAAGGCATTGCAAATTTCAGAAATGCTACTTTCTCCAGTTTCTCAAGCGCTTCCATAACTTCGGGCTCATTAAAAAAATCATCATCTTCTTCAAGTACACACTTCTTCTGATAATCTTTCTTTCTGAGCCATGTTCTGATCTCCATTTGCTTGATTAATAAAGTAATCAGCAGTTGTCAAATATATCTTCCTCAATATATCAGAATTTGGGAATTTCTTAGAAATGGTTGACGGTAGCTTGGAAAACTCAACAAATGCATCACTGAATTTTTGGGCGACTGCCACAATTTCCTTCACACACTCCTATAAAAATTAAAAATAAACTAGAAATTGTCATATCACATACATTGTAATACAGTTGAATCATCATTCAGAACTTTACATTCCACAACACCTTAGTTTACATTTTGATAGGCAAGACTTACATGTCATAGTAAAACAGTTAACATCATTTGACTTAGACAACTACAATTTACATCTTATACTAATAGAAGTTACATTTTAAACAACATGTGTTACATATTCTTGAGCACAATTTACATCATGTAAAATTCAAAAATCTAAACTCTTCAAGTACTTGATGTAAATGATTAATAAAACTTACTTCCTTTGTCAACAGCTCGTCACCTTTCTGTTCAGTTTCTTCTTCTACAGGCATGATTCTGGGCTTCACCTTGCCAAGTCCAAATCCCAGCTTCCTCTCATCTTTCACTCTTTTATCAATTCTGTCTTTGGCCCAGAATTTTATTGTAGGAAAAACATTATCCAAAACCTGTCCTTTGAATTGCACCCTATCAAAGTAACAAATCATTAGAAACAATAAAGGTCCATTAAACATTCTTGATGGATAGGCCTGTCATTCTTCTCCAGCATCCATGAGTGACTGTCTTGTGTATTTACACCAGTTCAGATTTTTTATTTCACCAACATTTACTAAAGAAAGCAAGATCTTGAAGTTGCTCTTCACACTCTGGTTGCCTCTTATCAAACAAGAGACTTTGAAGACAACAAAAATTCTTGATGAACTTATCTCCATCATCATCATCCTGAAAGATTTTTTCTATCATTGATACTGTTTGTGGGCTGCCTTTCTCAATGCCCCACTCTGCTCTCCATTCTTTTAGCAGCTCAGTGTAGTCTTCTGTTTCATTCTTTCCATTTGCTTCGACAACATCTTTCTCTCCTTTGGGCAAGCCAAACACAGCTTTAACATCATCTTCTTCAATATCTAAGAACTCTCCACTTGTAAGCTTGAGTTGTGCAGATATTGGTGTCAGGTTTTCCAGTAGAAACTGAACAAAGTCTCCATGGAACTTATCAAAGCTCAGGTGTAGCAAAGATCCAAATCCTATTTTCTGAACAATTGTCTTCTGTTTTTCACTTAATCCTTTGATTAGCCTTACAAATGGAGCAGGTCCAACTCTAGTCCTCAAATTTATTGAAGCACCAGCAGCAACAGCAGAAATGTTCTCCATTATTTCCCTACCAGACTCTTCTTCTATTTCTTGTATAGCATGAGTCTTCCTTTTTCGCGTATTGCGTGCACTTGTTGTTGGATTTTCTTCTATTATCAATTGTATAGGTGGTGGTTGTTCTTTTGGTGGAATATTATCATCAAAGTTACCCCTGTCAGTAATTAATTTGTATATGACGCATATCAGTAATTACATTATTCTTACAGAGCATTTTGTAGAACAATTATACTTACATATTGACATGCATACTTTACTTAATTCATAGCAGTATTTACATCATTTAAGCACGGAAATTGAGCATTTTGTTTCACAATTCTAGTAGTTATATAAGTTTTAAGCATTGAAACTCAGGAATTCCAACAAAAATTGCAGTTACGTCTTAACATACACAATTTACATAATTCATAGCAGTAGTTACATCAGTAATTACATCATTCTTACAGAGCATTTTGTACAACAATTGTTATTACATATTAATATGCAAATTTTATTTAATTCATAGCAGTATTTACATCATTTAAATACAGTATTTACATAATACGTAGCTGCACTTACATCAGTTTTGAGCACACAAATTGAGCATCTTGTTGAAATAAACCAGTTATATCTTAACATACACAGTTTACTTGATTCTACCAGTACTTACATATGTTTTCATAGCAGTATTTATATCATTTAAGCACAGAAATTGAGCATTTTGTTTCACAATTCCAGTAGTTATATAAGTTTTAAGCATTGAAACTCAGGAATTCCAACAAAAATTGCAGTTACATCTTAACATACACAATTTACATAATTCATAGCAGTAGTTACATCAGTAATTACATCATTCTTACAGAGCATTTTGTACACAAATTGAGCATCTTGTTGAAATAAACCAATTATATCTTAACATACACAGTTTACTTGATTCATACTAGTACTTACATACGTTTTAACGATTTTTAACAATAATTGCAGTTACATCTCTTAATATACTGTACATTGAAATTCAAAATTTGTAACAACAATTGAAGTTAGATCTTAACATACACACTTTGCATGTTCAAATTGACATCTCAATAAGACATAAATCACATTATTCAATACTCAATT